TATTGTAACTGGTTAAGTAAACCCTGTAAAACTTCTACTTAGAACCTCTACCACATCCTAGAAACAAAAACTGCAACCCCGTGGTTGTTTTTTGGACCCCCCCTTCCAAAAGATGTTGTTGTCTCTACCCCCCCTAGAAACAAAATCTGCAACCCCGTTGTTGTTTTTTGACCCCCCCCAAAAAAAACAACACAACAAAAAACAAGAAGCAGACCGACCAAGACTTGAGTACCACAACGACAAGAAGTCCAGCTACTAACATCTCTCCAAACCTTCGACCCTATCCCTAACAGAATCCCACTGAAATGCCTGACTTGCAACATGTGACAACTATGTTGGGCGGCTGTTTTTGTCTCTACCAACAACAACAACAACACCACCAACAACAAAAACAACAACACCATACAAAATATGGTAACGGGAAAACACCTAGGCTTCCAGGTTCATTGTTCAAAAGGTTATGTAACATGAACGCAAAGCGAAGCCAAAGCCAGAACTCAAGCCCCTTAGCCTACTTTCCTATATGCAGTAGTGGACAAATGTCCATCTCGATTGTTCCCGACGCAAAATACAAGCAATCTTCCTAACAATGGCAGCTCGATCTCCACAGAAATGATGCCACACATATCCTACAAGTCCAAAGACCCAGTAAAACCTGGTCTTTTACCTCCTGAAGTATTGGTTTTGTATTACCATCCCCAGTCAAATGAGGTCTTTGACTTGTAGGGATAGATGAGGCACAATGAAACCGCGCAGGACACTGTCGGACAACACTCTGGGCTTGATCGGTCGTGGGCCCGCCCGGTTTGGTCCGGCTGTCCATGGGCGCAGTGGGTGTCACACGTCCCAGTGCACGTGACACACGCGCGGACGTATGCCCGCAGTGGAACAGGATCTTCCAATCGAGGTTTAGTGACCAACCTGGAGTACGATCCCGGAACCCGGACATGACCTCTGTTTTGATAAGAAAAGATGTTTGTTAGGTGGTTGGTGGTTCAATAATCTAGAGGTCAGACTCAGGTTCGATAGTCCAAAGGGTCAAAATCAACCTGTGAAGGATAGTCCAAAGGGTGAGACAAATCTCGCAGAACTTGGTGGGGCGGATGGACTTGCGCAGGGCGAGAAGGAGATGACGATCACCCAGATAACCCCGAGCACACGAGAGTCGAACCAGGAGTCAGCGGACGGAGGATGCGCAGAAGGAACCTGAGTGACAATCACCTGTTGCGCAGAAGGACCAGGCAGCCATGGACATCAAGAACCACAGTGAACCACAACATGTCATGTATTACAAATGTGGTCATATCTGTGGTAATTGGTGACGCATTGCCTAAAGAAAAGCTCCAGTCAAACCAGTGCTTAGGGAAGGAGACCATGAGTCCCCAAATTGAAGCCGCCGTGCCTTGGCGTATCTTTGTCCAGGTGCAGTGTGTCCCACTTCAAGCGACAGCTCCGATTTGACAGGATCATGAGTTCGACAGTCTGACTTTGCACCGGACACCTGAGTTGAAAGATCCGCTCCACCTCACCCATGCGGGGTGGGTCGTTGATCCCGGGCCAGGGTTAGGGGTTCACCCAAAGCAGAATCTGCTCAGAACACACAAAAATCTTGAATCTTTAGGTGTTTAATTTAAACTCTGTGCGCGAGATCTCCAAAGCAAGTTGGTTGTTTCACCCACTGCGATGGAAAACAATAACAAAACAAGAATCTGCCCATCTGCTCAGCACAGCTGGGAGTTCGGCGGCCGGCCGAAGGTCCTTTTGAGCACTTTCACCCAGTCTAGTCAAACCAGTTCAAACGATCAAGTCAAATGATTGAATATTCCAGCCGGGTCTGAAGACTGGAAGCGCCTTCCCACACAAACAGTGAGGTTGTAGGCTGCAAGTAAGTGAACCTTAAGAGGACCAAGTTCTACCAGGTTCTACCACCCAACGATGACACATGTTTTTCGTAAATTCAGGCTCGGCTTTTGGTTCAACATTTGTCCGAGCAGGGATCACACGTCCACAGCAACTGCACAGCAATCTAATCTACATGTTTCATCAACCCAATGGCTCCGTTCAAAAATATGGAAACCTCAAATGGAAGGAACCGTCTCCTGCGCAGCTAACAGTCTCCTGCATGGGTGGAAGAGCAGTTTTTTCAGAAACTTCTGACAACTTGAACCTATCTTCGTCAAAGACTGGGTAAACATGTGGGTGTGTAGCTCAAATGGGCGGAGACCTCCTTGTTGTTGTCGGGACGTATACCCAAAGCCAGCCAGGGCCAGGGGGTCTTCCTATTAAAATACACACTGTTCAAAAAGTTTTGGTTGGGCTTGCAAGCTCCAAGAAGACAGTCGCCAAATTTCTTTCCACGTAGAAGACAAAAACCACATTGGTGACGCAGAAAATCGTACCTTGACTTCATGGGCTTGCCCTGCACAACACCAACCCCGCATTCCAAAGATCTAATTGGCCAGAAGGACAAATGCTTAAACATCCAGCCATAGGAAGATCATTTGGAGAAGCCTATTGAAGGCTTTACCAATTAGTTCATTCATCGCCGATCTTCGGTGCTCTCACTGTTCCGCGCGGCGCCCCAAGAACAATGACCTGAAGAACAACCGTGATAACACAGCATGCTATGTCTTCCTGATGTAACGACTGTTTCATCATGTTGTGCGGGACAAATGCCTAAAATGATCCGGATCCAAGAAAACAGGCAAAGGGCTATCTCAAATTCAGTGGTTCACTGGAAGGGCTCTATTGAACATCACGGGCGTAACGTAATATAGTCCGACGTCCCAAATAGGCCTTGGTCCAGACATGTCAAGACCCAAGTCCATTAAGTCCATCTGCAAAACACCCCGAGTGATGACAAAAAACAAAAAATACTCGGAAACAAGACTGCAAACAATACATCTAAATTAGCAGTTAAACACTGTCAGTGACAACTTAAGTTTTTTGGTTGCGATTCTGTCCACTTTTGGGATCAGAAGTGAACATGAGCCTCAAACAAAAACTACATGAAAGTGTGAAACCTGGAAGCTACGTAGCGGATTCCAAACATAGCATCAACCTTGCCAAATCTATTCCAGTCAATCTAGCATAACATAGCACACCCGGCATACCAGACTCAACACATGAAACTCTACAGATCCACAATCTATATATTTATATATGTTCTGCTTGGCCAGTGCCATGCGATGGAATCTGTTGGCTCCGCAAAATGGACCCCTCGGTCAAATCATTCAGAAACTTCACGAGCCGAGCGCAGCATTGGTTCTCGCCAGCAAGCATGCCACGCCACGATAGCCAAAATCGTGCAGGTTGTTGCCCAGAGTGAGGCCGCCACCATGTTTTCGAAAATGGCAAGCAATCCAATCCTGCTGTAGTTCGAACTCGGCTCTCATTAAATAAATCATAACAAGGTTGAGTTCTATCTGAAAAGCCTCAACTACCCGCGTAGACTTCAAGTAGCAATAGGAAACTAGAACTTTGGGGTTCACCCTGCGTGGAAGCCTCAAAGGAATCACCTGAGCAACCTTGAAGTCACCTGAGAAAGTGGAAACGAAAGCCAGGAGGAACACGCAGGTGACAGAGACGCGTTGGTTAGGAAAGGTTAAGAGGCTTCCTTGGAGGTACTCTGCACCGTACACACGGAGCCAGTTTTCTTCAGCAATAGATGCAAACCAACAGTAGCTACGACAACAGAGGCTGGTCAATCCCCATCGGAAAGCAGCAAGGTCAGCCTCCCCGAGCAAGACCTGAAGGGGTGAAAGGTACATTTCTCTGCGCTAGTATTTGGGCCGCTTCCTTTGCCATCGGCCACGAGCCCCGCCCCGGTAATAGCCCCAAAAATATGGGGCCACGGGGCGACGAACGGCCACAACACCAGAATGCAGGAACATAGCGTGATGCAAGAAATCATGTTCACTTTCGTGGTCCTGCTGCCCCGGTAACTTACGTTTTTTTAAAGTATTGCCGGGGTGGGGCCCGGGTAGGTCGTGGAGAGAAGACACTCCAGTAGATGATGCAGATGGGAGTGGGCTGATCCGGCCCAAAGATAGTCGGGTCAATTGACCACTACCAGGCATGTTATATATTATATATACACATTATAATGTTTCTTCTTCCATGTTGAAATGTCAAAACAAGGCATTGAAGCTGAAAGCGGTGGTCTTGAGGAATCACAGGACTAGTCTCCGAGTGACTGGATATACATATATATATATATATATACATATTTCTTTCAGCCATGTTCAGTAAGCTGCAACTCTTCCTGGTGAGACAACCTTCACTGCTGTGGCGGATATGGTTGCCCAAGGCCTTTTGGGTTTCCCACTTGGACTGCTGTCCTCGCTGCCGCCGGCATTTGGCTTTTGTCATTGGTTCATTATCCGCGTGTAGTAATAAAACTGAAAGCAGTGGTCTCGGGAAACCATAGCACTCGTCGCAGAGTGAGTGGTATGAAGCATGTTCCATAAATACATATAACTCTTTCAGCCGGGTAGTGATGATGCTAGTGCCAAGCCACCAAAAATCACTTCAGTGCAAAAGCAAAAACACCAGAAAGCTAGCGTGGTTGGTTTACATCACTGTTTCCCAATCTCCACCCCCCACACCCCCCAATACCTCGTTCGCAGCACCAAAGCCTATCGGCTCACTTTCGTTACAAAAACTCCACAACTCGATAGAGAAAAACTTTGATAGGGACAGCGTCCTTCTACTGCCACACGATAGTATAATTGTTGTATATTATATGCGCTGATAAACAAAAAAACAAACAAGGTTCGCATACCACAACTAACCAAACTGCAAGGCATCAAGCGTCTGCAAGCCATAGATACCGGCACCAGCCACAAGGCACAGGACGGCAGTGACAAAGAATGGGATTGCGGCATCCTCAGGGCAAATGGCAGCACTGCCATTCAATGGCAACGGCATGGAATGGCGTTTCCTTGGTGGTTCTCCTACTACCGGGTGGTTTTCCACAGTTACCGAGATCTGCATTTTGGCCAGTTCGCCTTCCTCTACCAGGGAGCAGTTAGCTCTCGGGCCTTGAGAGATGAGACATACAGCAAGCTAGGAGACTGAAACCATCCTGAAACATCAGATGAAAGCTCAAGACATGGTGTTCCATCCCCCGAAACCTTTGAAACCACCTGAATTCTTTCTTTGGATGAGACATACATGGACCGATCGGGGATCCCGCAGAGTTGAATACGTATCTATGAGGTATACTATAAATGAATGACTTCTCAAGGCAGTGACCTCACCTTTTGAACTTGTGGTCGGTCTCGTCTCTTCCCAAGTTTCAGCACAAGATTGGGTTGAAGGGAGTTGGTTGCGTGAAAGAATGGGGGCCGGCCCGACTTGTACCCTGGAGACAGGGCACCCCGGAGAAAGGCCAAGGTATATACCCATTTTGAAGAGTACCTGCTCCAGTTACCCGAACCTGCCCCCAATAAGCAAACAAATACAAATGAAAAAAACACCAACTGCGTGGATGCCCAACGAAGCATCAACGCATGGACGGTATCTCCGGCGGAGACCATAGTTGAGAAGCGCCCCCACGGCAAAAATGAAGGGAATCGCACCAAACCAATGTGCCAAACCAAAAATGGCCGTGGCACCGGCATGGTAAAATTCTCCCTCCCTCAAACGTGAAGCCACAAAGTCAGCTTGTCCCCACAGGGTGGGCGTTCCAGCTGCGAGCAAGTATTTGTAAGGAAATGCCAGATTACCTATTCCTGCAGTTAGTGTGGCTGCCACATTGGTTCTGACCGTCTGCTCAAACTCTTCAACGGAACCAAACCAGTGCTTGATGCATTCGACGAGAGTTTCCTTGTCACAAGGTATTCTGCGACCCTTTTGATCGACATGACCTACCTGACAGCAGCTTGCCGTAGTGTGATCGATACTGAAGTGCTGCAGCTGTGTCTTCATGCTGTCAAACTGCCTGTAGAAGGTCCGCCAAAAGTGTACCGCCCCCAGCATCGTTATGCAATTGATCCCTCCCCATATGAAGAGACCATGAAGTCGGTTGTCCCATGTACTTGGAATTTGGACTAACAGCAGCACAAACATGCAAACAAAACATAGAATTGTCATTGGGCCCAAAATTGTGGGCTTGATGTCCAGCTTAACTCTTCCACCTTCGCAACTCTTCAGGAAGGCTGCCAATTCAAACATGCACCACAGCCTCTCAGGGATTCTCAACTTGGAAATGATGCCAAAATGTCATAGTTATCTAGTTCAAACATGGTTCAAACGCCTGCCTCTCAACGTATGTGACATCCCAAAGAACAAGCATAGATTGGGAATTCTTCAAGAAAGCACCGATGTTGATAATTCCTTGCAGAGTCAGAGACTTATCAGTTTGATGTATGCAAATCTTGTCCAGGAAAACCAAACCACGCGGACGGCCCAAGATCAGCACAACGGTGGCCACCAGCATGCCGGTGCAACTGCCCCATGGAGCAAAGACGTAAGTCCTATCCATTTCAGTCACAGGTCGTCGTTCATAGCCCGGCAACATTCCCAGGCTACTGAGGGTCACCATCACAAACGCGAAGAAGCTTCCAGTCAGCCTGAGCCCGAAGTAAAACTGTTTGCATCCATCAATTTTATCTTGATCCTACTTGCTTGATTTGGCAAGAGTTTTGCTCAGTTAGGCACCATGTGGATGCTGGACCAAGATGTGACATCATTCGACATCCGATGAAAACCAACAAGTTCACTTGCAACAACCTACTCAAACCATTGGCTCTGGTCAACTTCATACTCAAACAATGTTGTGAATATTGCTATATAATTATAGTTATGTCTCATCCACGCTTGTGCTCTCCGGGAACAGGCCCATGGCCGTAGAACAGTTGCTTGGATTGTCCGTATAGTCACAGCCTAGCCACACAGCGGCTGGCCCATTCTTCATGACCAAAAGCATCGCGATCTTCTTCCAAGACCCACCGTGCCAACTATGCGACACAAATTGCGGGATCTTGGCCTTGGGTTCGCTCAAGTGGTAATAGCTCCGGGCTTCGTTCCTCCTCAAGACTCTACCAAGGCCGGTCAAAACGTGATAGCAAGGCGTTACCCTTTGGATCTCCATGGAAGTCAGCTTCATTTCCCGTACAGTCTCCACCATGAGCAGCTGCTTCCTCCTTGTGATGGTGTCTTTGGGCTCTGACTCCGGCTCGCTCAGATCCATGGGCTCAGGTTCATCCATGGCGGCACAGCTTTGGCGATGCCGAAGCGGCCGGTCTCGTGATCCACCAATGACCCAACAAAAGGGATGTTTTCTATGTCTCTTTTCGGCGCGGTGTTCAGAGCCTGGTAGTCATTGGCATTCAACTCAGTCTGGTTCTGTCTTCGTCTCGAGCGATCCAAATGCATGAAGTAACCCCCCAGGGATCCAAGATGATCCAAGTACCTTCTCAGAAGGTGATTGGAGACACCGTTACGTAGGTTTGGAGGGTTTAATAAAGTAATTACCTTCTGAGGAGGTATGTGGATCCTTAGGGCCCTAATTAAAGTGAGCTGCATGATACGTGATCACGATCGAACATGGTCTATACATGCGTTGTGCTGTTCTGCAGGCATCTCGGCATGAACACGTCGACTGAGCCGCACAAGCCGAGCCCAAACAACGCACCCGAAAATGAGCGAAAACCAGGGCCGCACAACGAGATCGTGATCGTGCCTGACCTTGAGCGGCCTTGTAGGATCGATCCGTTGCATGCCTTGTAGGGCATGGCGAAGGGTCTGAGTATACCAACTAGCAGTTGACCTTCAGAAGTCCGGGCACATGCCTTTCGATATGCCTTGATTCTTGCTTGCACCTCCTGTGACAATAGCTCCTTCAAAGCAGACAACCAACTAGGGGAATGGCAATGTTGACACCCAGACGCTCCTGGACCCTCCTAAGTAGGGGCTGGACCTCACATGGAGGTTTTGAGGGACCAAGGGTTGTTTGGAGCGTTTGAGCAGTGACAAACCATGGGCAATCATGGGCACCGTTGTTTGAATCGAATTGTTTGACCACTATGGCACAGGGGAAAACCGAATCCGAATGCTCGCAATTTGCAATGCCAAATCTCAAATAACCTGCATTTTGCCCGCGCAAAAGCACGCTTTCACCGCATGAACGACCAAAAGCGGTTCATTCATGCCTTTCATGAGATGCAAGAAGATGCCAGCTTTGAAGCTGGGAGTTGTCACAGTGTACCACATGAAAATTTTGCCCCGTTCGTAGCGTCCTTGCTCCTAGTAGCGATGCCATTTGCTCCTAGTGGCGATGCCATTTGCTCCTAGTAGCTTCTTGCTGCTAGTAGTAAGGCCAGGAGCCCCTAGTAGCGTCCTTGCGCCTAGTAGCGATTTGTTCAAGTGTGTTTGGGAAATCCATGGAAATCCAAATCACTGACATAGCTGACAAACCAAACTCCTTTTGGGGCTACTCAGTGCAAAAATCTGCCCGTACCGAATGCTGGGGCGTGTGTATCCGGATGGCATGGCATAGTCAGTCGCAAGAGTTCAGCTTTTGCTGGGGGGGGCCCTTTATCGGCCTAGAAACCTGAGTTTTTGAAAATCGAGCGCAAACAACATCGTAAATAATGGCATTTGATGAAGGCTTTGGGACACACTTTTTCTTGAGGCGTTCTTGAAACAAGTATAAAAAGGGGTCAAAGATAGTCAGGTAGAAGCAGCAACAAACGCCAGCGGCTTCATGGTACGGCTCTAGCTGGCTAGGGGTTCGTATTGGCCAGGTGGAACCGGGACGATGGGAATCTATGTGTTATAAAAACACGCAGAACATCTTTTGAACAGCAGTTTGAATCTAGCCACCGCCAGTGCTTGCAACGATACTCTAACTCCCACAAATACCACAACATTACCACAAACATTTCTCCCGGCACCGGATTCAGCCGCGCGTAGCGCGGCGCTGAAAAAGGGAAATTGATGGCCTGCACCCGGACGCGGTGGACCATGTCGAAACTCAGGTCAGGGAACAACTCCGGAGCAAGCTACTGCTGCCTTTCAACGGGCGCTACTGCCCCATCAGCTATGGTCCGGACCGGAAAAAATATCGATCCGTTCACCAAAAGAACAAAAGTACGACTTGGTGCCGGTGCTGTGAGCTGTCAGGGTGCCGGGGCTGGTGCTGACGACGGGCCAGGCACGATTTTCCCTATGGATCCACATACCTTCAAGGGTGAATTGGAGACACCTTTATGTAGGCCAGGAGGGTCCAAACTGAGTCCAAACACCTTCGTTTCGGAGGTACTTGGGGATTGAACTAGTGTGACCCCCCAAACCACCCCACTTCCAAACCCATTGAGCCAGCCGGCCCGCCACGAATCACTCTTTGCAGCCAGCCTGGAGCAGCTGTCTACCCGCAAGGTTCACTCCAAGCTCAAAGGGGACAAGGAGACATGAACAATATGTACTGCACATTACCCATGCACATATAAACCTACGTTAAAGCTACAACCTACAACCCTATAATGGCACCTGTATATATCGGGGATATCTTGATTATATACAACCAGCCCGTCCTTTTGACCTTGGTACCAGCCCGTCTTCTTGAGCTGATTCCAACTCTTATTGCACATAATGACTTAACAGCTAGGGGGTGCAAAAGATCCCCAATGGTGCTGGGTCAAGCTCATGATCTGCTTAAGCATGGTGAAATGGTACAAAAAACAAAGTAATCTCTGGAATACCTTGCCCTGCTCCGATCCACTACCCTGAACCAAAAACAACTAGCTCCAAAGCCACGGCCATTTCCCTCCAAAGTTACTCTTCATCATATTCCTCCTATAGGTCTTATCAACAAAACTTTTTGATGTTTAACGCAATAAAACGACTTGTCCACTTCCCAAGTTTGTGTTTCCCATCACTAGAGGCCAAACATTGCCAGATCTACTATATGGTCCAGATCTCCCCGAGCCCCAAAAAACACACACCCCTGTATGGAGACTACAAAAGCCCGCCCTGCGGGACTTCTTCGCCCGGATGGCGCGCACCTTCGCGGCAGAGTTGCTCGAAGGCCTTGGGTCGGAGGTTGATCATGTCGAGGAAGTTGAAGGACCCGGTCGTCGGGAGCGCGATGAGTCGGATGAAGATCAAATCAACCTGTTTTTGCATCAAAGGGATGAGTCAGGGATGAGGCAGGGCCCTTCCTTGGCTACGCTGCAACAGGTTGAGAATGCTTTCGAATCACCAGTTGAGAAGCTATAACGCTAAACATCACCCCTACATGCAAATCACCAGTTGAGAAGACTCCTGAAAATAAGGTTCATGGGGTGGACGGAAGCCAGGATGGGGGATGGTGGAGGCCACCAATCCATCGGTTTTGGCCGTGGTCGGACTGGCTTTTCCCCCCTCCGCCGGCGCCAGGAGGATCCCCGCGGACCTCCGCGGGGCCCGTGGCTGGCTGTGGAGCGCGAGGCGGTCATGAGACGGTGGGTCACCCACCCCGCTCCGGGCGGGGCGGGTGCTTCTGAGCCGAGATGCCACGTAAGAAGGCATGAAGATGGGAAGGGCAAGTCACGGGCATGACGGTGCTGTGAAGGAGTGGTTTGGTGGCATTTGGTGGTTGGTGGGGAGCCTTTTTCAGTTGAGTGACTTCAGATTGGCAGGTTGGGCACGGTGTAAATACAGATCATTACAAGGTATCACACGGGTTCTTCCAAGTCTCAGTCAGTGTGGTCTTATCAGTATATAAAAACGGATCAGTATTGTCCGTAGATATCCCTAGAAGTCCAATTACTATTTTGACCGACTGAAGTAGAGGATTCAATACCTGAAATCGGGTCACCTAAAGACAATTCTTTTAATATTTTGACTCCCAGGGTTATGGCTTGGATCCGCTGAGATTGTTTTAAGGTTCCACCTGGAAAAGTCTCCGGGCCCTGCTAGGCCCTGCTGACACCCGGGCTTTGCAGTTTCGATCAAAGCTCGGGTTTTGGACCAATTATGGCCAATTGCATTTAGATTGATTGAACAGCCTCTGCATGTGGGGGATTATTAATCAAGAGTCTACATCATTAGACAAATGTGTTTTGTTCTTTTCAGGTTTTTGGGTTGGCTGCCTTCTGTGAACCACAGAAGCTGAGCCATCTATGTTCACTCAAGCACGGTCGCACCGCAGTGCTCCGTAGGTGTCGTCTTGGCGGTACCGTCAACCACCAAATCCTTGGGCTCCAACCACATCCGACATCCTCAGAAGGTAGTTAGGCCCCACAAGCCTACCCACACCAGCTTCGAAGCGGAGGTAGTTGGAGCCCGGAGATGTCCCGCTCCTATCAGCTTCTCTTCAGTATCAAGATGTATCAAGAGATTGCTACCCCTAGGGATCCACATACCTTCTGAGGTGATTGGAGACTATTTATGTAGGCTTGGAGTCGGTCCAATTACCTTCTGAGAAGTTATGTGGATCCATAGGGTACAGAGTCAACTCTGCCAGTAAAAGTTGATGCCAACCGAGCATCGCTGCCCAGGAGTCCAAGGGCACTTCTGCTAAGACCAGAAAGTGCAAGGCCTCTGACAACGGTTCCGTGGATGCGGCTTGTGCGAGAACAATGTGGATTTGCTAGGAGCCTTGGCTCCAAAACGGAAGCCACGCTACCACCAGTTCCAAATAGACACACGGATCCACATCACTGTCAGTTCCATGGCTTCCCTTGTCAGAACACACCGTTGCAATTGCGTAAGGAAAAAAACACTGAATTGAACGATGCTGGTGCCGATTCTCGACAAACAAACAACGAAGACGTCGACGTGGTGGACACCGCAGGTGGGTGGGGCATGTGCGGTGTGCGGCCGCGTGCGATGCTTCCACCATGGGTGGCGCGCAGCAACAAACGCACCCAGCCGCGTGTGATGAACATCATGAACCTGGATGAAAAATGTCCGGCACTCAAGTTGGGGGTGGTTTGGTTGGGCGCCCATCCATACAGAGCCGTACTATACCTCCAAGTACCTTCGTTTCGAAGCGGGGAGTGGTTTGCTCAACCCCTCCCATACACGCTGAAAGATCTTGGAACCCGAGTGCACCACAGTCAGGTTGAGGAAATTTGTCTTCTTAGTCCGGTCATGTCAGGTCCATTTCAAGGAACATCGGCACACCACAGGTGGTCCTCCTCACCTCCCAGCTGGAGCATCGACCCGATGAGCTCAGCGCCGCTTCGCCCATCCAGCGGAAGTCCGCGCCCTGGAACCGCCGGCGGCACGGTGTTCGGAGGTGTTCGGTCGATCGAATGGGATGGTCATTGGGGTCGTCATTGGGACAGAGATGCTTTGCATCAGGAATCAGTATCACATAGTATCGACCAAAGATTCGTCCCCTTGGTATTCTCATGTATTCTCTATAGTCAACGCTTTGAGAACTGCTTTGAGATCTTGGCTTTCAGGACGAAGGAGTGGGCTCCTGAAACCAGTCACTCGTCAGTGGAAGGAGGCTCTCGGAGCGACGGCGTCGGCGCGGTGCTTAAAAACGGAAAGATCCAGACTCACTGGGATACATTCCCATGGCCAGTGTTATTCCCATGGCCAGTGTTATTCCCACGGCCAGTGTTAGTCGTCATTACTAATGGGAGACTGATTAGACTCGTCTGATACTGATGATCTTGAAGGGCGGGCATCAGTGGGCATCATTTCAACACAAAAACACGGCAAAAACAACCAATTCCTCTTTTGCATCTCGAGATCTGACCCGAGCCCGCCTTGTTGAGAAGCAGCTGCATCAAGCAGATGTCGTTGCGAGCCGCCTCAGCTGCGAGGACGTCAAAAGCGCGCGCGTGCGGCACAAGAAGCTCGGAGGGTCTCAAAGGAGAATTGAAGACTGCGGCTTGGCAAACATGTTCCCAAACACTCCTTATGCCGGCTGAAACCACTCCATGTAGGATCATGGGTAAATATGCCATACATGCAGTGTCTGGGGTTGAATTTGTTGAAATGACATCCCAAACAATCCATATTGGCTGTGAGTTCTGGTACCCGGGTACCGATTGTGCAAACCTACCTGTTAGGTCGTTCGCTACATGGTGGACCAGGGCTCCAGGTTTTGACCCATCCCCATGTGTTATAGCTACATCGACTTCTTTTCATCCTCCCGGATGTGGATAGAATAGTCGTACTCCAATTCTCATTCTCATGCAGGTCGATGTCCATTCTTCCATCAGGTCAACCTCTCATTCTGCCCTCCCATCGAAGGCAAACAAAAAAAAACAGGTCGATCCGCTGCAAATGGGTCTTCCTTCGAGTATAGGCTACTGCTTTCTCCACCGAGGAGCCGCGTTCTCCAACAGCAAGTCTCCGAGTTCTCCTGTGACGTCAAAACCACTCTGCACCAGAAAGTGCAGCACCTGCGTCGTCGCGAGATGCTGCAGTAAAAACCATCGGTGTGGCTGGACCGTGACACCGCAGGAAGAGGTATATATAAATATGTTTTAAGCGGTTTTTCAACGTTGGGAGGTCTGGGACTAGACCCAGATCTATTGAATGACCCAGATCTGAGAATCTGCCAACCGTGGTGGTCTCAAACATACACATGACCTGCAAACAGCGAAGGGCGGAGAGCGGACGAAAGAGACAGATTTATGTCTCGGTGTCTCTCCTTGATGGTTTCGAAGCATTTCCCAAGGATCCAAGACTGCTGTTTTTTTGTGCCATGTATCATCAACATGACCAGAAGAGCTTCATTGCCGCCCCTGCGTTGCTACAATTCCACATATTTGTTCAACAAGGAAACCATATTTGTTCCACAAAGTGTCCCTCAAAAAAATTGCTGTGCAACATGTGTTCAAACAAGTGTTTTCCTCATACTTCATCCCTGCGGGTCCCTGCGGAAACTGGGCACACCGACCCCAGGTAGGTTTACCTACCCAGGTAGGTGCACATCGACATGTTTTTTCTGCACGGAAACGGGCACCTCCTTTCGCTCCTTTTCAATGGCACAGCGGACGGCTTCTTGCGCCACCTGAGATCCGGAGGCTGCGGTCAGCGAATTTCCCCGTTTCCCTCGCTTCCAGAAAAATGGAATCCCTAGCTTAGGTCTATTTTCCTATTTTACCAAAGCCCAGAGGATGATGCTTGGGTTAGGTTCCAGGCCGACATCTCTATTACATATAGTCTGTTCTTGTATACCAGCGCCTGTACAGGTCATAGGACAAACCCAATGGCTTCTCGACTTATCTCACCACAGCGCTGGTTGTGTCCCTTCCTGATGGGTGTCCCTAGCATGCCCAAGGGTCAGACCCCAACCAAACCGTTTATTCCGTTTGAGGGTCTGGATTTCTAGGGGACCAAGAATGTCATGATGACCTTTCTCCCTTTCTCCTAGTATCTTCTTGTTCCTAGTAGTATGGCCAGGAGCCCCTAGTAGCGTCCTTGCTCCTAGTAGCGATGCCCTTTGCTCCTAGTGCTTCTTGTTCCTAGTGGAAAAACACAGGCCCCTGGGCTCTTTCATCACGAAGGATCCACTAAATCTTCCACGAACAACACATGTTTGGTCAATATGGTAGAGAGAGCTAGGAGATGCTAGGCTTCCGACCGCCAAATCTGTCTGTGAACAAAAAACAATAAAGACAGTTATAAATCCTACAATGATACAACTCAAAAGACAATAGTTTGTTAAGTTGTCTTCAGCCATGTGCCTCTATAGTGGAAAAAGAACTAGCAAATGGACCCGTTCACACACTTTCACCGGCACCGTTCATCTCCACAAAACTTTGATCGCTTGTGCAATGTGGGACTTCATAGGTCTCAGTCTTGTCCGCAAGAATTAATGTAGACAAGACTCTTGATTGATAACCCCCGCACATGGATTGTATATGATTGCATATCCTCTTCATGGTGGCTCTATTAATCAAGAGTCTACATTAGGTCTTGTCCACAATAGAGTGGATCATGTAAACTGTTGATTCATAAACCCCCCTACTGGACCAGAAGGATTTTACATCTCCCGCAGGTTTCACGGTTGAATCCATCAACGTTCCACATTGCGTGGCCTCAGACATGTTCTTCAGGCAGGGAACCTCCTTGATGTCTAGGCAATCACCTTGTCACTTTTGGATCAGCTGTAAACTCTGAGTAGTGTCACCAACCTAAAAGATGGAGCAATACTAGCGATGGCCTCCAACCCACTAGCGATGGGCTCCAACCTACTAGCGACCTAAAATATGGAGCAATACTTCTTAGATCTTCTTAGTACTGTTCCGTTGCACTTCTTGCCAACGTTATGGCACATGATGTCGCCGTCTTCGCTTCTGAAGCGGTGCTTCCAAGATGCCCATGAGCTCAGTGATGCACCGTGGGACACCTGAGCTGTCGGGCCCAGGAGGGGGCAAATGACCGCAGGTGTTTTCGTTGCAAGGCAGGACATCCAAGCTGTACAAGACCAGCTGGAATGGAATGAATAATAGTTCACTGTAAGATGGCACATCAAACCCTGGTCAAGAACATGGCATATGAGTCGAAAACGATCCTGAAGACTTCAAAGAACTGCAAACCATGTGCATGTTTCTCCACTTCCCATCTCCCATCCGTGACGGTTCTCATGCTTACCATTGTCCTGTGTTGTTTCTCTCCTTTTGCTGTGTCTCATGGCACCCCCCCATTCCAAGTATGGTCACGTGTGCTGCTTACGGATGCCATCTTTATGTCCCGCTCATTACTGACCCTGTTTTCGGGTAGTTAACATGGCATGTTGCCAAACTTTCACTTGTGTCATCATGCAGTGAGGTCCTATATATTGGGGACAAGACATAATCTTGTTGCATGGTTTCTGTAAACCAAATGGGGGGCAGCCAGTACGTTGAGCAGCTTATCCCTACACGTGACGTGGTGGATTACTGATTCCAAAAGGATTGCCTAAAGGAACAGGTTCAAATGGGCTAGAAGACTGGGTCAGGAGGCAAATCTTGCTCGAACAGAACATTGCCAATAAAAGGATACTGCGACGGCTCACTGGATCTTTAGTTGTTTCCGATGCAGAAATGAAGAGCACACTAAGCCTGGCACTACAGTAAACGGCTGCAGTGTTGAAGGCCAAATGTCCACGTGCTTCTTTGCCCATCCCCGAAACCATGAGCGCCGGGATTTAACATGGTTTAACTGTGTGCTTTGTAATCAAGTTCCAGTGGACATGGTGCCCCTCAAACCCAAGGTAGCCCCTGCCATGTCCCCGCAAGCCGCAACAAGCTGCCAATACTTTCAACACTTCCACGTGCCCGCCGGCCGCAGCGTCCAGAAAGGCCTACAGCGCCCGGGTTTTGGGTCCGTCCTTCACCGCCGCGTGGGCGCGCCAGGACGCAGTTTACACGTGTCTCATTCAGGTATACCTAGATCTTCAGTCCGGCACTTTTACAGGGTCCGGCGCCGGACTTCCAACTCCGGCGTTTTTCTGGATTTGGTATATATATATATATATATCAATTTGCACATTCTCAGGGCCCAGTGAATGATGCTGATAAGGATGAGGATGGTGATGATGGTGATGATTAGGTTGCAGGTCTTTCTCAAAAAGAGTGATCATCTCTTAACAACGGTTACAGGTAAGTGATGTGACACACCAAAAACCACACAACTGATGCAATGTATTGGTACTTCTGAGGAAGCCACCCACGCTTTTGGATGCCACCCACGCCTTTCTCCGGAGATGTTCCGCCCCCACCGGGGAGGCCTTGACTCCTTTGAGCATCCCCTTTTGGCGCTGGAAGCCAACAGCAATATATTTCCTGAGAGTCAAAGACGATTAATTTTTAAAACATGGTCTGACTAGGGCACCTGAAAGGAAACATCCATTTACATCACTGGGGCAATGTATAGTTTTTTTGATTTTCAGATATAGTATATATATATAGAGATTAATATCTAGCTAGGATATATACAGCATGTATTTATTCAATGCTGAAGAGCAAAACAACCTCTACACCGATGCTGCTGTTTTGTGATGCTACATCTCTCTGTCAACATAACCCCCACCCCACCTCAATAGTTGCCATAAACTGCCAGAACTAGATCCAGATATTTGCCCAACTTGGAATTGCCCTAGATCCCAATAGCAACTTCTACCTGTTTGAGCGTGTTCTTCTTTCCGTCCGCACCGAAGAAAGCTCCCGGTTCGTCCGGTTCGTCCGGCCTTGTGGCCGCCCCAGGTGTCCAAGGTCATCCCCAGTGCCAGGCAACGCTCCAGGACCTCCTGGGGCTCAAGCCCACATTGAAAAAACGTTTCGACCAACACAGGGCACCATGGGCACAGGGCAGAGACACTGTTTTGGCCTAAAAAATAGACTCCGCGTCAAGAACAACCAAATCCTGCTTGACAAACCAAATTGGCTCATGTCCAAAGAATGGGTCTGAACTGGCGCCCAATTCCAGATTTTGGTTCCCAAGGCCGCAGAACTGCTGCAAAAAATCGAATGAAGGTTAAGACAGAATCCACTTGCAGTTTGGGATTCGACCCGACAGTCCTCACCCAATGATGGGGGTCCTACTACATGCTAAGAACATCCAAACAGTTTGTTTAAGCTTACAGGTCCCTGGGTGAATGACTTGGTCACCTTTCTGCGCCCAAAGCCTCCAACGCCTCCCATGCTGCCACCCTTCTTTCGCGACCGGACGAAGCGCCGCTCCGGGCGGTTGGTCTTGGCCGCGAGGCCGAAGGCACCAATGGCGGCATCGGACGTGAGGTCGACGCCTCCGGGGAGAGCCGGAAGGGGCCTCGGAGGCCTCGAGTCCTTGACAAGGAAGTGTGGACCAAGAGGTGAAGCATGGTACGGGCAAACTCTCTACCTGTTGGAATCCCTCAGAAAGGCCTTGAACATATCCTTTTCTACAAGTATCGGTATATTATCATGTGTTATCAATTTTTTCTGGGTAGGCCCGGTAGGCTGGACTGGGGTTGCCAGATTTTGTTTTGGTGGGCGAGGTTTGACGTCAGAGGTCCCTACCTTCTGCTCTGGATGCTCCAAGAGAATTTTCCATCCCCCTTGGAGTCTTTCTTCAGCGGGTCTGGCAGCCCCGGCGACGGCTTCGCGAAAGAAATCCATTCTTCCAAGAGCCGCTGTAGGAATCACCAAAACAAAGGCTTCCTACACTTCCAGCCTTTTCCCATCTGTGACATGGAAGGAATCCAACTGCATCCTTTGCCACATATTGGAGTGACCCACGAAGCCACTATGTAACAATGTACCACCATGGGGCAAGAACTGGGTACAAGTCGACCTCCTGTTTTTCGGGTTCTATCATGCGACAATCACATGTTCAAAGGTACGAATTGAAGACTCCAAACTACCCTATAGGGTATTTCGAACACTCCATGTATATGTCGAATATATATATATATACATTGACCCCCCCACACCACCCCAATCTAACCAAATACAGGTCGTGTCTGGGTATACATTCACCCATGTCCTCCCACTTCCCATTGCTTTCACCCTCCCCACCGACTGTCCCACAGACTCTCACCTGTCTCCAGCAACTTCACCACTTCGCGCCAGTTGCCCCGCGAGGCGGCGATCTGCAGCGCGCCCTCCCCACAGCGCGTCGTGGAGGAACTCACCTCCTCGGTCGTTCGTCCCGTGGATTGGATGATGTCTTTCATCTTTGAACCACACCGTACACCTGTCAATCTTCACCCACCCATTGTGCTCAATCTTCGGGTGTGGGGGCCTCATCGATGGTTGAATCATGTTGAACCTATAGTGGGGTATAATGATGGACGTCCCTCGGCCTTCGTGAGGCTTTGATCGCTCGCTGCTCCGATCGCCTGGTGGAGACAGGCCAAGGAACCGAACCATTGGTAACAGCTCCCCCCTCCGAACTCCTGACTCAACTATCGACCATTGTTTGGCAAAGACGTAGAACTGGATCAGGGCATTGGGGTCACTAGTCATTTTGGAAGCTATTCGGTTGGAGGCCATGACTAGTAGCTAGATGGCCACTTAGATGGCCACATCCCATGACCAGGTCGCCAGGGTCCCGAACGGACACGGACCAACCCCAGCCGTTCGAGTCTTGAAGGAGACCCATGATGACGCATGATGACCCATGCAAACACCTCAAAACATCGAGGCTGGTGCAGTGCCACGGGTGGAACCTTGAAGCTTCACAATCGACATATAAAGAAGCTTTTTGTGAACTCCTTTTTGGGACCACCAACTTGTGCCACCAACCACCCCAAATATGGTCTTTTCATCTCTTTTCCTATCATCACAGGGGTCACTCCGGTTCTAGGTATTTATTGGGAAATGTTGGGATCAGCGTCTATTCAAATGTTTTCTTTGCCTTGCTACAGTCGCAATCTTATCTAAAAAAGTATCAGTCGAAAAGAATAAGTATCAGCAGTCATTGAATCTGGCACCGACCTACTTCAAACACTATCTCTTTACCATGCTCCTAGCAGCAAAACACCTCACCTTGCCATTGTCTCATGAAACACAAATCCTCGGACGTAGCTCTGGCCCGAGAGGCGCAGCCATGATCCATCATGAGATCCACGGTCTTCCACCTCGCCACTTCTGCGAAAGAATACGGTTATATAACTGTTGATCAATCAAACTCCCCAAAAAAAATGTAGAGCCAGCCAGGTAGAGGTGTTGTTATACTCAACCGTCTACATTTAGAATGTTTCTTCATTCTCCTTTCGCCTTTCACCATAGACTTCTACAAGGGTATCATCTGTCCGCTGAACTTCAAGAGTGCCAAGTGCCAACCCATCCAACATATGCCCTTCTCCTATATCAACACAGGTGTCCAGAGTCCAGACTGGGTTTTGCCTCCAATTTTGCGCGATTCTTGCAGCATTGGAGCAGATTCAAACAAATCGGGAGGCATGTTTGTGGTCGAGCTCCGTGCCGGACATCCCCGTTCCCCTCAGAAGCCGTGAGGTTTTAGGTCGACCATGGTCGATTAGTTGGACACGTGGACTTCGCAGCAACTAACATTTTGCGAATATGATTTCCCTCCTCAAAAGTCGGACACTTCGCTGTTCGCTCTTGAACCCTTCTGCAGCTGATCAACATTTGCTCTACGCTCTTTTGAAACACAGAAAACACACATCCTAACAAGTTCAGTGAGAAATTTGAAAACTATTAGCTACTATAGGATCAATCATCCAAGTAGAGGTTGAACATCCAAAAGATCCAAAACCAACACCCGGATATATCATCTTTCGAGTGCCAGTTAGGTCCTGTCAGGTCTGTGGGAAGGGACCACAACCCCCGCGCAAAACATCCCTCAACTCTTCCACCGCTCCACAAAACAACGACCCAGGAGCCGATCGCGTGCGGCCGAGACGAGCAGGAGCTTGTCGGCGGTGGAAGGCATGGGCACGCCATGTTGCAGCACGGTTTTCACCTCGGCGCAGACGAAAAACGTCAAACCGGGTGTTTCAGGCGGGGGAAGACTGCGGCCGGACACTGGTCACCCACACATTTCACCGAAAGGGCCCGATGTCGCAAAGAGATTCGAGATGATTTGAGCAACTTCTGCCAGCTATGTAGATTCAAGTCGGCCACCTCTTCACTGAAAGGGTTCCAACATGTTCAAACTTCACACTCTCTCTCTCTCTCTCTCAGGAATCATGCAAATATAGACAATGAAACTAAAAACATGAAACACAAAGTAATCGTAGAAAAAGAAAACGCCTACTTTGCATTAAACAATGATATCTTCTGGATTCTATTCCATTATCACCAAATATGGAAACCAAATCAACATGTTGAATCCAAAACAACACTGCCACAACGCCACTCGTGGCGAAGTACCAACGCGGTGTAAGTCCCACTGATGGACCGTCGCCCACCAGCCGTCCGATGCCGTTCAGTTCGCGCCCCCGTACTTGTGTTTGAATAAAAGGAGTGCTTTGAAAACATCCATCCAAAGCAGTCAGTGAAGCAGTGAGTCGTACTCCAAGCAGTGAGTCAGTGAGTCAGTGAAGCAGTGAGTCAGTGAAGCAGCGAGTCGTACTCCATCGCCCATCGCCGTACTGGGAGCAGTCAGTCTCCCAAATCATCCATCCGCTCCCAGCGGCTGTGCGCACGTCATTGTGCATCGCTGCATGGAAGAGATCACGATCTTCCGGGATGGACCTCGTGAATCTGGAAGACACCTCCACCACATACAGTAACGAGTGCCATCCATTTTTCCGCCTAGTTTAGTTGGGAATGATTGTTGCACCTTTTTACCAAGGGGTTCTCTGCCATTTACTTATCTAGCATATAAGAATGTATACAAGCATCCTGAGACGGTCTTTATTCTAGAGGGTTGTTGCGCTCCAAACGAGGTCGAGGCGTGGGTGACCTGTGCAGTCGGGTGCCGTTTTAGAAATCAGTGCCCAGAGTCGACCTGTTCGTACATCCGACAACTCGACAATGGGCTCAGTCGTCGTACCTGATCTTATTGTTCGGGTCATGTGCCATCTTTTTAGGGCACTTGAAGTTGGTCCAGGTACCTACTCTTGGTACACTGGGTTGTGCACAACTATAGGATGTCTTCCCTCGATTTCTGCCCTCACCACACCCTTCCGTTTGGAAAAGCGTGGGCGCCCGTGGGCACGTGGGAGCGCTGAAGCGGTGAGAGGGGTTCGGTAGGATGATGGAACCTGATGGAGTCTTGAACAACTCAGGATGGAACCTGATGGAACTTGAGCAACCTGAGTGATTCTTGAGTGGAAGAAAGGTCCTTCCGAAGCTTTGCAGACACAAAAGGACACTGCCGCACGGTGGGAAACTTGATGCCGAGCACCCAAATCATAAAGCACACTCCCTGGGACTCACATGGATTACGTGGATGGACCCGACTTCGGAAGACCACGCCATCCCACATCGCACGGATCGAGACGACGCACATCCTTGAGCCCGCCGTATGGTATGGTACCAGGTATGGTAACAAAAGTTGACAAGACTATGACACTATGGGTTACAATTATGAGTGTAATAATAAGACCATAGTGTGATAATGAGACTAGACAATGAGACACAGTTACATCATCACACTATGGTGTTTGCCACTTGAATCCCTGGGCCGATGGGCAATAGAAACACTTAGATCTGCTCAGGACTAAGACTAAGGTCCTGCATGGACGCTGCGTCCGCAACTCAGATAGCCCCGTCGTTTGCTCCTGATTGAAACCCGTCAGTTAAACAATCGGCTTCAAGGATTTGATACAGTTAAATCAAGGTCCCTCCACATAGAAACCACACCTCCAATACATCCTATTGTGTAGAATACACGAGAAAACAAATTTGGGTGCTCTGTGTACGGCTCGTTTGTCAAAAAGACCAGAGTGTCTACAGCAAAGCCTGGACAACCAAGGCTGGAGAGGCATTCACCTTTCTGTCCCCTACAGGTCAGAATCAGAAACTGACTTCATTTTACTGGAGTTCACAGAACTTCACACTCAATAGTAGATCAAAGAACTGGCTTGGACCTGGGTCACACTGGGACGGACTTGGTGCGTTTGTCGCAAGTCCCTCCACCCCGCAGCTGGATCCCGCTCCGCCCGGTCGCCACGTCGTCCATCCGCATGGTCCGCATGGCGCGCCGTCGTTCGGAGCGGCACCCGGCGCCATGGTTGACCCAACGAGTTCAAGGTACTTAGTAACAAGGTGCATTGCTGCTAGTAACAAGGTGCCTTACTACTAGTAACAAGAAGCTACTAGTAACAAGGGCATCGCTACTAGGGAGGGCATATAGTCAGAATTAGTCTTGTAATCCTTTTCGATTACTAGACCTGGACACTCTATTCGTACTCCAGTCCTCATTTCTAGTCTGCGAACTGGCGGGTTCAGATAGTAGGTACTATCACGATGAATTCATCTTGGATTTGCTTGAAGCAGTGGAAAAGAATAACAGCATGCACCTCTATAGGGAAATACAAACAAATAATGAGCAATGATAAGCGAAACCTGCGGACATGGCGCATCTCCCAACGGATTCGTCGCTAAAATCCAATGGATTCTTGACAAAGTCCCCATGTGGTTGGTTCCACTTTGGCTCCCGTTCGATCGTATTGTCCAAACCAGCTTTGCCACGCCCGCTACTGGCCAAGGCCGGCGAGAAGAAGGCTTTAGGAGTCCCAGATCAGTCTGCATCAGCTCCAGAACCCGGAGCCATCTGGATCCGAGCAAAACGTGTTCAGTACCACTGAGGCCCCAAGAACATAACATGACAAGTGGTGATCTTGAAGAGGCAAACCGTGCCACGAATCCATGGTGTTTCTATATGTGTTTGTTATAATATTAAGAATATATAGTATAATAAACATATAATAAGCTCTTCGGGCGCAAGGACACACACACACACAGATTGACACAGAATATATCACCCCTGCCTGAACTTCAACTGCTGCTGCTTTCGCAAACCAGCAGGTGCCGCTAACAACAACACCAACACAACACCCTGCCAAGCACCACCATACGAAACTACCTGAACCTAAGGGTTCAACGTCATTCCAAAACAAAAACATTTGAGCTTGCAACACGTAAAAACAAACAGTTCAAATAAAGCGGCACAACAGAAAGGCACAATCCGAAGGCATGTGGCCGAGAACTACACTGACTGCATGGTGAATCAGTTTGTACATCACCCATTTGGATAAAGGCGTCGCGTCCGATAGCACACAGGTAACCTGCGGCAACGTGTCCAACGCTGCCAATACAAATTTGGACATACTCACAATATCTCACAATCCCAAATTGAGGGACAGTGCACCGATGGTGAGTGCCAAGTGAGTTATTACAGCATGCTAACTGGACTTATCCGACATGCAAGATGCCCCTCTTTAAGAAAAAACAATCCAGTGTACACACATGTATATAAGTAGAGAATACCTACAGTGGAGTAGAGTAGAGCCTGAGTGAGGTATTTTGGACCACCAAGCACCGAACATACCGTTTATTCTTTTTTGGTCCCGGTCTCCAACATCTCTAGCCACATCTGTCTCATTTGGTCTTTACAAGTGTCAGACCTTTAAGGGTCCAGGGCCATCCTTTTCGGATGGTCGAACGAAGGTGAGTACGCACGAAACCTGAGAATGGTCTTTGGGGCCCAAGGACATCCGATTCGGATGGTACATAAATACATATATCATCATATATCTATACTCAAGGCTTCCACGCACTCCAAACGGCCCACCGGGCATGGCTGGAGACCCGCGCTTCGATGTGTGAGTCGCTGCCTTCCAAGGACGAGAGCGCCGAGCAGAAGGACCTCGGGTGACGCGGCGGAGAGGTCGAGGTCGGTCGGGCCAGCTCTGCCGAGCGGGAGCGCTGTGACCGACCTCCTTCGGTGGTGTTTCTACGACCTTCGGAAGGGGGTCATAAGGTGCGGGAAAGGACCAGGAAATACCCAGCCGGAGCAGCTCGGACGGTCTCCCGATAGGAATAGCGGCCGTGGATCAAAAAACAGATAGGAAAAGGGATCGGACAGTCTCTCACCAGGCCATACATGGCGCATGGTCATACCCACCTTCGTACTCCAGCTCTGCAACAGTTCTGCCATTTTCTGCCTTTTGGCTCGTTTTATGGACGAAAAAGGCAAACATTCTGCATTGTTGGAAGGTCCAAGAATGCCGCCTTTGTTTTTGACGCCTCTTCGTTGGAACAACCAACAGCTATGACCGCACAGCATACGCGAGCAACGTCCTGGTTGCGACCATCAGTGAGTGCCGGGCGACACATGGCAGTACTGATCCTCTGGAGTCTGGGCTTTAAGAGCATGGTTCTGTCTCGCGAATTGACATTAGGGGTCATAAGTATCAATGTTCATTCACCCTTAGCAGGAGCTTTTAAGGAGAGGTTCGTGCTTGCAAGGTTTTGTTAAGCCTGGAGGTCAACTCCTGGAGGCTGTCAACGCACTTCGTACATTGGCCTGCGCCAAACGTTCCATTTATCGCCCGAAGCTCGGCGATTGCTGTCCGTTTCTCAGCCAATATGGAGTTCTGACGTTTTTACTTGATGGCAAACACCGTCATGTCACTTCTCCAGTTCGCATCTCGCAGGAATTTCCAGAATACCGACCGACATCTGAAGTCCACCGAAACGAAGGCTTGTCCAAACCGGCCAAAAGGGGCTATGGGCTCGACGTCAGTATGCAAGGGCTCCAACTACTGCCCTTTCAAAGGTGAGCAGGATATTAGGGTGGGTGCCAGGGGGGGTCCAACCACCGAACCTGGGGATATGAAGCACTAGGCCGGGGGAATGAAAGAGTGTCGTCTAAGAACGCTGAAAGGTTCAGACCTCAAGGTTCGCACGAACTGACCTCCTCAAAGGGTGGAAAAGCCCTCTCCCCTCCCCTCCAAAGTGCTCAACCGTTTGGTGTTCGTTCCCTTTGCCGTGGGGCGAGGATCATGTCAAAACCAAACTGTTGACTGTTGACCTTCCTGATGGACCAGTGCTGTTCATCTTGAGGTTCTTTCGGAAACGGCTCTTCTTTCGCAAGGGCCATGATGTTGAGCGACGCGGCAAACGTTTGGGAACCAAACGTGCACCAGTGATTGGCATTGGTGAACATCACCGGTATCTGCCGTTTGGTGCTTGAATCTCACCGGCGAACCAAGAGAGGCGTCCAGAGACATCAGCGGCCAGCGTGAAATTGTACAGCTCTCCACTCCAGATGGTCATACACTCAACAAAAATATCAACATGCACGCAGAAGAGAAAAACACATACTCTCAAATAACGTTGATTCTTCATGGCCATCCACTTCCATAAATAGTATACAGAACTGACATTCTTTGAGCGCTTGTTGTTGTGTGTTTCTTATGTGTGCGTGTTGTTTGTTGATTCTTGTTGTCAATGTTGTTATTGTTCTTGTTATTGTTCTTGCTCTTGCTGATGCTGATGTTCTTGCTCTTGCTGTTGTTGCTGTTGTTGCTGTTGTTGCTGTTGTTGTTGTTGTTGTTTTACGTATTTGTTTTACGTATTTGTTGTGTTATTGCTTTGTGAGTGAGTTAGTGAATCAGTGAGTGCTTTGTATATTGCATGAGCTCTATCATGTAACATGTTTGTTAGTTTGTTGTTTCTTCCACTTGCATGAATGTTAGTGAGTCAGAGTTCTTCCATCCCTTTCGTCCACGAGGCACCATGGTGAGCCGGACCTTGAGCATGTGCCCAGGCCCAGATCCACTGATCCAACCGCTCCACGCATTTGTGGTCACCACCTATGCACATCTTCTCATATTGCTGGGACCGAATATGATAGAATCTCATGAATGTTGGATCATCACCTCCAAATTTGGACAGCAACAACACACGTATTTTGTTGCAAGGTCCAAACTCCTTCTAGTCCTACTAGTTGCAACCCGGACAACTCCTTCTAGTCCTACTCGAGGTCACGTCAGCTGACCTCCGTCCATGACCTCGATCTCAAACTCGCTCCGTCCGTCCCTCGATCGGGGGGCATGGTCAGCTGCGACAGCTCTTGCATGGCGCGGGTGACCGAACGGGGCAACATCTTCACATAGGCCTCGAGAACAGACCAGAGCGGGGCCGCGGGCCAGAGCGGGGCAGGGCTGGGGAAAAGCGCCGGCGTAGGCTGCGTTCCCGAGGGAGTTTGGAGATCTGAGGCGGTTTGGTGGTTTCTCGGTTTCTCCACAACTTAGCTTCTGGCTGATGAGGAAGTGGATATGTTCTTGGATTTTTAAAGTTTAAGGAGATGGGTTTGATCACGAACGCCGGGATGGCACAGATTTGGCCGACCAACTCTTCGCGTGAGAAGAATAGGATGGGGCAATGCATTGCCCGTGGCCCACCTGCTTTCGTCCGGCTGTTCTACCGATGAATTGCTGCTGATACCGGCCTTTCAGGGTCCATAGCGGAGCTAGCTTGGCTCTGCCCTAGCTGGCCAATAGCAGTAGTACTTCCCACATCGTTTGAATTCACAGTCAACCCAAAGAAAAACTTGGCTCTGGTGCCTGATTCATGTGGGCTCGATATGGCCCTGTCGCCTGTCACTGGCCCTGTCACATAGCTCTTCTTAGACTCCAAATTAACCAACTGAGTGTAAGAATAGGCAGGCCTCCAACATCCTCCAACCTATGGAATGGTTTTGAGATGGTTTGATCTGTTCTCTCTGTTCTCCTTCTTCCAATGTTCATTCGGCTTCTATACACATCCAATATAATATACTCTGCTACTGTTCCAAGATGTCCTTTAAACATAGATGAGTAAATCCTCTCTCAAATCCACTGACACTGTGCGAGAACTCAACTGGAAAATGGGATATGAATGGAGTAAAACACTTCGGCAACACCCCAACCAAGCACATCTCTCCCATGCTCCCCCCAAACCAATCCGAGCCCGCTACGCCCGAGTCCGGAAAAAGAAGCCGGGGCGAAACAAAACACATTCAATTTCTTTCTGTCTTTCTTTCGATTCTTGAGCATGAAAGGTCAAGACCTGTCACTCTATTTGGAACAAACGACAACTCTAATCCCAGGCACTCCATGTATGCCATATTTACTTACATTGGGGTGGTTTGAGAAGTCAATGTAAGCATATATGTCAGACATGGACCAATGGAGTGTCTGGGAATTTGAACAACATATATAAACTATAAGGGCAACAAAAAGAGAGCCAACGGCGGACACCCGCGCACCGTCTTCAAGACGCTGTTCGCCAAAGGACCTGTGACCTGACGACCACCACCACCAAGGGGGGGGAGATGATGGAGGTTGGGTCGAAAGTCTCAAAGCCTAAGATAGGTGGAGCAAAAATTTCCATGTGAACTCCGTGGGGATTTTTGAGTGTTTTTTTGGGTCATGGCCAAAGCAAGTCCATGTTCTCAAGTTGCTTGGTGCACCATTTTGGAAGGCCCCGCAGCGATGGTGGATCTTGGTGGATCTCGCATGAAGGGACCAGAAAAATGGTCCAGTTTGCTTCGGGGAATGATACTTTACAAAACTCTTGCTGGCAATACGAGGGTATAGATGTGTATTTTTCCCCTGCAGTTGCCACAAGGACACTGTATGCGCTGTATGAAGCTTTGGTCAACATGAATATGAAACATCATTTTCCGGGAGACGTGACGCATGCGTAACGATTGGTCAGGATCCTTCTATCAACGTATGGATATAGGCATGGTCTTGGGTTTGTGTGTCCACATGTGTCCACAACCCACTTTCAAAAAGATAGAACATTTCTGGGCCGACATCGGCAACCATCGATAATCAAAATCAATCAACATGCCAAAAAAGTAATGTTAAACATGTCGAAACCCGCAAATCCACGCACCTGGACCCACTTTCAGCTAGTGATTACAATTGAAAAGGGGACATGACCTGGACAAAAAAAAAACAGGTACGACCTGTCACGATCTGTTTACGCATTTTTCGTTAAAGCTAACAGGTCGACTCCCCATACCCAGACACGATCCATGGGACTGCCCTATTTGCATCAGGCCAGGGGTGGTTCCAGGGGTCAATGTAGGCATATATGGCAGTCCCATGGAGTGTCTGCAATATCTAGATCGTCACAACCCGTCAATATACGTGCCTGATCGGGTCAGCACAGCTCAGGTCGGCGCAGCCGGTGATAGAGTTCGGCCCCCCGCCTGACCCAGCAGCATGAGTTCTCGCATGGAGGAACGCCTGGGACGGCCGTTTTTCTGTGTGAGAACGAATCGTTCTGACGAGATGCGACAGTACAACGACAGCGGATTGCATGGATTAGTAACATCCATACGGATTTTGCTAGAGGGTGTAGGTAGGCATCCGTTGCTTTTGCTCAAATTTGAGTGAACAAAAATGGAGGAAACGGGACAATGACGGTGTCATGGAAACTGGCCCAGGCCAGCGTGAGTCAGAGTGTATGATCTTTGTAGACTGACTCATGAATCGGCCTGGACATGTCAAAGCGGAGATGGGGGGTTATTCATAAACAGTCTACGTAGACCCGAACGATCCTTTCCCCATATCTGGACTGGAATACATGCCGATAGGGCCTATAGACTGAACCCCCCTTAGTTCAATCTCCTTGTTCAACCACCCCCCGGGACCTCTTGCCGTTTCTCCGGGGTCAGGACGGCCATACATTGGCCAGGAATCAACCAACAAATCATTGACACCTGTTCAACGTCCCCAACTGATCGGACTCAAATCGGAAGATCTTTTCCTACCAAAATGAGCACAGATATATCTAGGAAGATCTGTTCTTTTCGTTATATCCGTTATAATGCGTATATTTGTTAGTCTAGAGACTTGTGATGGACAAAAAGATGAAAAACATCAAACAAAAACGGGCTACACCATGGTGTTCGGGACGAACACCACAGCGGTGCTGTTCGTCCCATCGCCCAGCGGCCAGCGGGTCTGGTCCACGTCCTTCACCTGGCGGTGGGGACCGTCTGCGAGTGCAACAACGCCGCCCTCCTTAAGGTGAAAGACGTTGCAGTTCAATGTCTGGGGAAACAGATATACAGTATATATATATCTCTTTATAAATTATCGCCACATTTCTGCAGCAAGGGGCCTTTGAACATAGAATGTAGAGTGTCTTTTGCCCGGTGACGTTTTTGGATCACTTGAGCGGTGAAAACACACGGCCTGTCCAAAATAGATGGCCACAAAATGCCACAAGGGATTCTAGTACTTGTCTTGTCCACAAGGTGGATCTATAGGTGGATTTGTTCAAAATTGTTCAAATCTATTCAGATCCACTCTTTAACCGAACTGGCACAACCCACAACACAGAACTGGCACGACCGAGGGCACAAGGAAGATGGCCGAAAACGCACCCCTGCCGGAAATCGGACTCAGTTGCGGTTGGTGAGAGAATATAAGATGCCGTTCCCAGGCACGACCCTGTCTTGGGACTGGCATACTAGGCACTTACATTGGGAGTGTATGCCATGAGAAGTCAATGTAGGCATATATGACAGACATGGAGTGTCTGGGAGTGTTTCAAGTCAGCTAGCAACGATGGAGAAACTTTTGAATACATTCCAAAGGAGGCCCCACCGCCACGGGCTGGGGAACGACTCGGTCCACGCGACAACTCCGAGGAGTCGAACCGATTCCAGCCTGTTCGATCCAGCGAATGCCGAACAACAGGGCACACGCTTGCGCGAACCTCGCCGCGACGAGTCCGCGAGGTTCGCGAGCGATCCCAAATTTGAGCTCGACCGGTGGTGCGTACATAGATTTTGATTGTAACATGATCAGGCCAGAGGGTCGTTGATGGTGTCCTGAGTGCCTGGAAAGCCACATCTGGCGTTCTTGTGGGAAAAAAAAGCCGGGCTTTCGTTCAGTTTGGTCCAAAGACTTGCTTGTCCAGGTGTATATTCCAGTCCAATTTGTCGTGTCTGAGACGTGTCTGATTGCATCGTGCGGGGTCTCCGTCTCAGGGGGTCCATCCGAATCGAAGTGGGAATCGCTTCAAGGTGTTCGAGGTCGCAGTCCACACCCATGGAAAACCAATATAATCCCCCCCCCCACACGGTTTGGTTTGGGGCACACTATCTCATCCATTCGGCTGGGCGATGTTCTTAAACATCACTCCAGTACATGAATCTTGCATGCACCTCAATCTATTCCAGTGGAAGAGGGAGGTCCAAACTAACACTTGACTCAACACGTGTGGGACATGCTGTCAGCATCTCAGTGGGACTGCCTGGGCTCCAGGTAGATCCAACAGAAACTCCTTGAAGCATCCCATGTAGACCCTAACAGCTTCACTCAAAACCATGTCAAATAGGACCTATGCTACAGTACATTTACTGGAACAACCTGTTCGTCGGGACTCAGGATTTGCGAGCTGGCGCCCGGAAGCTGCGGCGCTTCCGCGTGCGGAAGCTCCGCTTCCGATTCGGATGCATGATATTCGCACTTGTTCTCTACTACCTCACCACATCGACCCATCTAGCGCATTCAGAGAGTATCTTCTGATCGTAGAAGAAGCTTGGATATCTGGTTCGAACCCCACATGGCCGTGCGCCTGGCGTATGGGGTGTTCCATGCAATACAACGACCAACGACCACTGCACTCAGCAGCTCATTGAAGCTATCATGAATATCATTGAATATCTGAATACCTTGGGTCTATCATAATACCTGTAACAGTGGATGATGATGGTTGGTAGAGGCCTTGTCCACAAATAGTGATAATTGTTTACTGACTGCTACAGGTAATAGGACAGACCCAATGAATACCATCACTTCTCCTTTCTCTGGTGGAAGCAAAGCGGCTCAAGCTTAAGCTCTCCAAGCCCTTAAGTTGTTTAAGGATCTTAAGGGAAGAATGCGGCGTGATATATTGTATATGCATCTTTGAACCACATCCAAATGTCCTCGCTTTCTTATAGATCTGTTCAGTAGTGGGTAACCAATTGCCAAAAAAGGTCAATAGCAGGGCGCCGATTCCCCGCGAAGCTGACCCAGGGCGCCAAACCAGGCTTGCCGCTCCAAGCGTGAAAGCAATTGCGCAGAGAGGGTCTCTTGAATCTGCCAGCGGATACATCGAGTGATGTAGGATAAATTTGGACCTCTGGACCCAAGATATGCATTGTCTATATACCTCCCCAAGATCGTGCATTTCATAGTGATGGAAGGTAACATCATGAAAGAGATGTTGCTGCTGTATTTACTTTGTTTTGTTTTATCGCGAATCGCCACGCCGAACTCATGGTAAAAGTACTGCTACATGTTGAGTCTACGCGGCAAAAATAAGGCAAAGGGCGAAATATGCCCACTGTGATGACCTAAGGTTCACTGTGTGCCACACTGTGTGCCCCACCGTGTGGGGCGCATGAGGTCGACGTAGGGGCGCGAGCGCGGGCGAGTCGGACTGAAGGACTGTCTGTGTCTTCTTCACGGGAAGGTGAGGATGTAAGGCTTCGCTTACCCGTCCTAGGCCTCCAGTTGTACCTTCGTTTCGAAGGTGGGACTGGGGGCCCGGGTGCCAGCCAGTCGGGTCCAGTCATACCGAACCGGTTTGGAGGTACGACTGGAAGTGTAGGCTTATGGATTGACACGAGCTGCCCCACTAAGTGCAAGCAACGCTTTTTCTTCACAAGCAGGGAAGTTCGTCCATGATGCAAATCTGAGCAAACTTTCCCATGATACAAATCGGAATATGTCCCTAAGCAGTTCATGGCTATCAAGCATCTATCAAGCATCTACATGTTGTCGTTTGCCAAGTATGAGAAGCGAAGCTTCACCAGTGAATGGGCATGAAGCATCCTCAAATTCGGTAGCATGATTCTCGTGGGCAGACCTGTGGCTTCCTAAGCGTAGTTGGTCTCTGCAGGTTGGTTAAGGTGCGGAACAAAACAAGCGTTGGACCGAACTATGGTTGTAGGTACGTCTTGGGGATGGTCATGGTCGGCCCCGAAAGGCTGAGAAACCTATATAGTCCCTAAGGATCCACTGCCACCTTCTCAGAAGGTACTGCCCTCCAAGCCTACTTAAATAGTCTCCAATCACCTTCTGAGAAGGTACTTGGATCCCTAGGAAGTGAATCATTTTACGAGTGGCTCCCGAAGTCTCCCATCGACAGTGGCTCGTCATGGAGCTCGACAACCATGAAGCCTTCTCTTTGCCATAGATGGCTAATGACGAGAGCCGCGCAGCAATGGGTATCACATGCTCCTGGCAAAAAACACGCCGAAACACAAAGCGGCAGCCCGGCGGCAGCAGTAGCTATAGTAGAAGTAGTGTTTGTTTGCCTCTTTTTTGCGGCCCTGCGAGATATCCAACTCAACCAAATCACTCAGAAGAGCAAGGTGGTGTATACCTGGACCTGACTTCAAGTACCCTAGAAAATGGAAGCTGACCTTATAAAAGCAGGTACTTGTACTACTCTGATACTCATTTGCGGAAGTACTTTGAGACGCCACGTATATTCTCTTCTAGGATTCTAGTAATTAACTGAAGAAAGTAACCCAAAGAGCTGGAACAATCTGTGTCAGGTGGTCATTCTGGGCAGAAAGAAACGTGCTCTGAAGGCGTCTGGGGTGCACAGTTCGTTTGCCGGATTTTGTAGGGGGAACAAACGAGAGGTCAGTGCCAGGTACAATATAGTACATATTATATACCTAGTGTTTGTACATCATGGTTGTACACGACCGGGGATAGTATCATCTCTATCAATCGACCAATCAAGGGTGTAAAGACAATCTATTCCTCCACTCAGCTCCATTGAATTCTTCCTTGCCAAACACAGTAATTACATATAACTATGCTTCTGTTGGACATGCAGGGACCGGAGAGACGACACCATCTACCACTACCACGCATCCACAATAGCCTGGCTAGCATCCTATAGCTATATAGATAAGCCTTGTGTCAGGAGGCGGGACTTTCAATCATCCAATTTTCAGGTCAGGATTGGCTAGTGAGAAAAACCACTACTTTGCTGCTCCTTTCTCCTTTCTATCCAAAGTGGGGCGCCATGGCTTCATATCGGTGGCCTCAACATCCAGCAACCAGGGTAAACCCCAGACGACCCCAGAAAAAAAGCGGACATCAAAGCAACCATCCTGTGCCCGTCCTGATCCACGATAATGTCCTTGTAATTTTCCTCGGGCATGACTCCCAGCCCAGCATCCACATGTGTTCTTCGGTCGCAAGATGAAACCCTGATTCCAAATTCCAATATTAAAGGAATTGAGACAGGAATTGAGGTGTTCCTAATTCCTGAGAATTGCACTTCAATTCCAAAGTCCATTTCTGAGGTGTTCCATGGTGTTCCTAATTTCTCGACTCACACCGAACAGCCCTGGTGCCTGCTAAAATCCCACAAGGATCCAAAGACGTTCCATGATTCTCCGGTGGTTTTCTTTTGGACGGCAGAATCAACCACCGGTGGCTTCTTGGCTCCATGATTCTCAGGAGGTGTCCCACAAGTCAGCTTCAACTTTGTCTTCTCTTAGTGCCGCAGAAGTTGATCAGGACCCCCGATCTGTGCCAAGCATCGTGCTGCCGTTCCATGACCTTCTTGGAGAACTCTTTGCCCTCCTGGTGGAAACCCAAACGTCCCAGACACGATCCATGGAACTGGCATATTTTCCGACCAAGCCAGCGATGGTTGTATTAGGTCCATGTAGGTCCAGGCACCTCCATTTCGGATAGTTTTGGAGGTGAGTACTTCCAAAGGCCGGAACTGGAGCCGGACCTTTCTTAAGGCTGTAACTGGACCCTTAGGGAATACAGCCTCGTCTCATGAAGTGAATCGTACTTGAGAAGTGGCACTGCAGGCACACATCCGGCCCACATCCAAGTCCAAGTGGCTCGAGAATAACACCGAAGTGCTGGGGGCAGTCAATATTCTCATATATTCTCCATTCATGCAGTGTATTGATGGGGGGCACCCTATTGAGCCATCACCATGCAGCCTTGTGATGAAATCTCCGAGAACTGCGGTTTTGTGCAAGAGCTTGTCAGGTTTGCATGGGGTGCAAGTGCGGCAAAGACTTCTCACGCCTATGCAATTTTACATGCATGGTTTGACTGAGTGCAAGAACGTGTGCACCACCCAAGCATTTGTGGGTCAACCAAGCATTTGTGGGTCACCACCCAAACAAATTAACCTAATGGACACAACATCACATGTGCTTGAAATTGCTTGAATATGTTTGAACCCAATGAAAAGAATACAGTGAATACAGCTAATCCCACAAAATGTAGAATCACAAACTCCCACAATTCCAAGCGTTTGTTTGAAACCACGTGGATGTATTGACCCCCCTTGCACCGGAGTAGGAACATTCAAGTTCTTGCCAAATGGTTGAAGAATCTCGCCGAGACACACTCATCTGAAGTTACGAAGCAAGTATGAACTGCAATCCTCTCTTTGAACCATGCTGACCATGCCCTCTTAGGCACATTCATGGACAACCGAATAAACGAATTTCACGGCGACTGGTGTCTTTCCATTGCCCAAACGATCCATGTATTTATGAAGTATTGATCTCCAATGTGGAAAATATGGCTGTGGGTCATGGCACCAGGATACCGTAAGAGCATGTAAGAGCTACAAATACGCCGGACAAGATATATGGTCGACTAGCCTCGCGCTCCGGGAAACCTGTGTCAGGTCGCGAGAATGGCTTGGACAATAGCGGATGATCATGTAATCAGTAATCATGTTCATAACCCAGACACGACCTGTCTGGGACGGGTAACATTACCGATCAGTGGGGTGGTGCCAGAGCGGTCAATGGGTCGGCGACAGACATGGAGTGTCTGGGTACTCCATGTGATTCCCTAACAACGCTCCGACAAACACATGGACATGGACATGGAACACCTGTTTGCAGAGGATTTCATGGCCTTCACGGCCATGCCATCCACTTCCGATGTGTTCGTCAGAGTGTATCCCCCAGTACCCAAGTCTTTGATTCAAACAACCTACCCTCAGGCACTCCATGTCTGTCATATATGCCGACCTTGACCCTTCAAACCACCCCCATGTAGGTAAATATACCCGTGCCAGACAGGTCGTGTCTGGGTACACATCATTGGTGGGAGTTGACGCGAAGACGGGGTGCTCCGACGTCGTTCTTCCACCCCCCGTCTCGTCCGGTCATGGGTCGCTCTTCCAGTGTCGGAAAAAATGCCTTTTTTTCATCCCAACAGAGGTGAAAAAGGACCCTACGTACTAGACTATCCATGACTATCCAAAAAATAGGTAACCCAGGTGATGGGTCCTGAAATTCAGGCCACTTCACGTACTTAACCTCTCTTCATCCACTGAGATAGGAGCGGCTGGACATCGGTTTCTGAGACCAGGAGCAACAACTCTTTGGTGAAATCTCTCCAGAAAACCTGGTGTCCTTCACAAATGTCTATAGAACCTACCTAGCACTTCCTGTCCGGGTGCCCTGTCTGGAGACCTGTTTACGTAGGGTAGGGTAGTCTATTTGTTTTACTTTTTCAGATGTGGCATGCCTCTTCAACCACCCCCTTTTCTGGGTCAAACCGGCCCAAACCAAGCATGCAGGCCCCAAGCTCTTCGGGACTCTCCGGAAGTTCCAGCGGCGGCGCCTTGCAGAAGAACTCTGGCAGCTGGTCCATGCGGTTGGCCACGATCCAAGTGTCTGCTCGTCGCAAAGCGCTCCGCTCCTGAAGAGCGTCTCCATCAGCCCAAGGGTTACTCAGGTTCTACGGATACAGTATATCTATCTCTTGGGTCTATCCTATTACCTGGTTTCAGTGGATGACGATGGTTAGTAAAGGCCTGGTCTAAAAAGGATGATAATTGTTTACTGACTGTTACAGGTAATAGGACAGACCCAATCTATCTCCCTGTCGACATTGGTAAGTACCGAACCTCAGGTTCGGTACGAAAACGGACCCGAGGTCCTGGCCGGCACAGTGTCTCAATGTGTCTCCCTGCTCACCTAACCTGGAGAAGGTATGACTAGATCCCTAGGGCCTCCACCTAATAGGCTTCTTGCTCGGCACATGGAGTGCTCTTTTCCCGGATCCTCGGGATCCAATCACATCCTTCTCAAGAAGTAGTTGGAACCCTAGGATGTAGTAGGGAGATGTCCCTGGCCCGTTGGTTTCACGGGTGTATGTTCTCCTTCCTTTTAGAGCATCGCGGGTACGGGGTCGAACTGTTGGGGTCGACCAGAGGAAACCTGGTTGCGTAGATCGTAAAACCATGGTTCTATTTGGTAGGTACCAGTGTAAAGACCATTAAGCATAGTTGTTCAAATCCGGAATCGTTTGACTTCGTCACAATGCACCGGTCCAAGGAATCAGGGAGCTAGGGCGGCTAGGGTAGCGGCCGGCGTCAAGGTCTGCATGGAAGTCCTAAGACGTGAAAGCGGTACGTCTCGTCTTGTTGATGAACTTGAACCTGATTAAAACATCCATTACAACTGTATCACGGGGTCTCCCCAGCACTGTTGCGTTTGCGTTGATAGGGGAAGGCCTGTATGAAAACTGAATTAGTATCATCCAAGTGAAGAGCGAAATGATTCTCCAGAGCTAACTCCTGGCTCCTCTCCCGAACCACCCACACACTCCTCGAATGACATCTCCTCGTCCTGGCAGGTCGCCGGAGGTCCGAAAACGACTATGCCTAGCTTGCGAACCAAGCAGGACGGGCCATTGATCATTTTGTTGGGAAGCTTGATCATACAACCCAGCTTGACTTACCTTGGCAGAACAACCTGTGTCAAACACCGATCCCTTTGGGACAATTGAGGGAACTCTACAAACGCAACCCATGCCTTTACCGTGGTATGATGACCATCACCCTGCGCAGCCGAACCTATATGCCTCGACATCGCCTTTTCCATGAAGCCACATCGCCGCTTTTGCGGGGTGCCAGTGAAGTGGTTTAAGGAGACGGATGACATGAATTTTCAGCATTTCGAATGCCCAAAGGAGGTAGACCATTGCTCTCCGACTTCTGTTCGAAGCCACACAGCTCGACACGGTGCACCCGATCATTCGCACTTCTTCGGTTGTGGGTGGCGCGCGGCGCGAGTCGCTCTTCGGTCGGCAGGATGTGGTTTGATTTCTGGTCGAACATGGATCCACGCGCTGTCTTCTTATATAGGTAAACAATTATAGTGTCAGATCATAAAACAACACCGCATCTGAATTGTGTCTTTTTGTCGCAATGCTGCGAAGAAACCGTCTCCCCACTTGGATCCTCTTATATATATATATATATTACGTCCCTATCACGATTTTGGGCAGTATCCAAAAAAATGACAAACCAAAAGTGATGCAAACCACAATTGTTCATGGATTGATGATTAAAGATTTGATATGTTATTGTGTGTGTGTGTCCAACATCATTGATGTGTCTTTCAGCTTTTGTAGGTGATTGAATATTGAGCATATTGTATCATATAACTATATATGTTACATGTAAAAACACAAACGTCAACACATATCAACAATATACTTAAAAAAACAAATATAATATATATATATATTAATTTAATCAAATTCAATCCAATGTTTGAACCAATTCTTTTATGGGGACGCGGACACTGCGCAAAAACACAAGGCCTGCTTGAAGATATCGCGCAACATATTGCACACCCATTGCCTGGGCGAAATGAGGAAACGCGTCTGAAAACAACATGGTGCAACACATGTTTTTGGCACACCGCCTTTGTGTAGGGTATCCAAATACTACTCGCTGTGTTTTGTGTTTTTGTGTATGATGGAGAACGTGGATAACAGCCTAGCCAGATGCGAAAACGCAGGTTTCTGCCTGCTTGTGCTGTGTGGTTCTTCCACGGGTCCATCGAGTTCCGGACGGGACTTCGTGCTTCGAAGCATCGATGACTACCTGGCAGCGCGGAACCTCGACCTTGTATGGCCTAACCCGCGATGTCCGTACTTGGGAAGAATGGAGGGGTCGGTGCCAGGTGCCGCTTACTACTTGGTTGTGCACTTGGGGTTTCCCCTTTTTGAATCAACCAACTAATAGAAAAAGGCAATCCATGGATCTGACGCCAATCATCAGCTGACTATTTCGTGGTGTGTCAAAATATCAGTGGTGACATTGGCTACCTGTGACCCCGTGCAGTGTTTAGCCTTCGATTTGCTCACCTACCTCTGTGTTATGTGCGTGTGTGTCATTTGCAAATTTCTTAGACATTGAGCTGCGTTGGCTTGACTGGCTTTCAAAGACCCCCGTGGTTCAGCTTAGGCTTCGCGGCAAACGGTGTCACAACTCAAACCTAACCAGCGAACCCTGCAATCCACATATCTGCTCACAAGGTACTTGGACCCTCTAAGCCCACATGAAAGACTCCCCAATCACCTTCTCAGAGCGGTGCACCCACAGGGAAATGGTCTTCTAGCGCACCGTGCCAAAGATTCGTCATCAAATTCCAGAAGTCTTGCAAGCCCCATGACGTTGCAAGCTGCGTCAAAAACGGCCAAGCTGCGTGCGTGAAAGGGGCTGTCTGCCTACGGCTTTCGCAACTCAGACAAGCAGCCTGTCTACCTATCTACCTTTCCTACAAGCAGTTTCTTGCGCTGCTCTCTGAAAGAATAGTTGGCAAAGCCTCGCATGGTGCACAGCCAAGCATCTCAGATCCTGAAGTCTTCTAAGGCATCCAACCCGTGTTCCTTCTAGACCAGGCAACCAAACAAGAGCTGCTGTACATAGATGCGGTGAGCACGCTTCCATTGTAAACGAGAGCCTTCCATTGTGAAATCTACCTTTATCCCTTCTGTCACAAGGACTCCTCCTGTTTGCTAAGTATGCCTGCAATGCTCCGCATGACCACTGTGAAATATTGTTCTGTCCATGACTTCATTCTGGTCTCGCTCGAATCAGAAACAGGGCGATATTATGATTTTGCTCGGAACCCCTGAGAAATGCAATGAAAGTCGGTCCAAATCCATGTGGAGCCTTGGGGAACACATGGAAACATCCTGCCTCCATGTATATTGTACATACATTGGTACTTGTATGACTGGGGGATCCTTTGATGTTTGTTTTTGGACAGGCTAGCCGAAACACAGGCGCTGCCAAGATAGAATTGGGTGTGGGTGTCAATCCTTTGGAAGAAAGGCGGATTTTTGTGCACCTCCCCGCCAGATGTGGCGATGTGCAACTCAGTGTCCCGGATGTGTCAGCATCGTAGCATTGGCAGCACAGCGGGCAGAAGTTGGGAGCCCAAGAGCCGAAAGTAGCACGTTCGAACGAACCTATTGTACAAGTAAATCTGCCCAACAGAATACATTGGTTTCAGAGGTTCGATGGCACTGGCACCGTCTTTGCGCCATCTACTCTCAACCCACAAAAATAGTACTGTTGTTTATAACCTGCTTCCGCGTGAGATTCGAGATGGTCTGAGAACTAGGTCAGGGCTTTGTTTCAGCCTCAAAATATACATGAGACCAAAAATATCAATGCGGAAAGCAGCAAAACACGACGCGCAACACGAGGCCAGAACTGCCCGCGTCAAACTTGGGTCGTTTATGTCACGCTGTGTTCACTGGATTGACAGCTCAATGTTCAATTGTCCACATCGTCTGCTCAAACACGCTTGTTATTTGACATGTTCTCATTTTCTGCACGAATATTTGAGTCTGACCAATCCTGCTCTAGTCAAAGTTAAAGCATGATAAAGATTGAATACACCTGCTGTTTGCAAATAGATAGCAATTCAAGTAGCCTCTGCTCGGTGCAAACAGCTAGAATAGGGCTTTCTGATGCTGGAATGAAGTTGTTTCTCTCTTTGACATGTTACATCCCTGTCGCGCTTCCTTCCTGGGTGTCCTGGGGTAGGGGACCGTATAGTGTAGGCTTGTCCAGCCAGGTGACCTAGTAAGGAAGCAGCTGGTCTGTTATTGTGTTTTGTTCAGCTGAGCTCTGACCGATGCGATTCGAGTAGAGCTGTTGACCGATGTCTTCATCGAGCTTTCTGAAAGGTCAACAAAAACAAAGTGCCAGAGTGCCCCAAGATACAGACTCACATGTCTTTTTGTTGACTTCAGCCCATGCATGAAATTCATGAAAACCCTATACCTCTTTCCTGATCGCAACCTCTTCCCTGGGAATCGTGCTCCCTGATTTGGGGCAGAGAGGCTGCGCGACTTTGCTGAGGAACTGTTTTCGAAAACAGCTCCTTGCAAACTTCTTGGTGTGCCGTTGTTTAAGCTATGTTCCAGGACCTTCAGTTCGTGATCTCTTTGGAGTCTCTGTTCGTGCCCTCTTGCAGGTCCGTTCGCGACCTCATCCTGGGATCTCAATCTCAAAAGGCCACTTTGAGGTTCCCATGACCTCCAACCAATCTCCAGCTATGTCAGGAGTTGTGGGAAGGTGAAGATTTCACGTTGCTTGAAGGATCCCGCAGTTGCGCCCAACAACAACATGTCTTAAGATGTCTTAAGGAAGAGATCATTGGAATCTTTGGGCCTGGTGGTTTCACGTCAGAATGTGTGGCAGCTCTGGATGCTCTGGTGGCGTTCGTCTATTCCGTGCTCCCTTCCGTGTTCAGAGTGGCGTCCGCGTCTGTGGGGGTTCAAGGTCGCTGCAAGAATGATCGATGAGGAAGATCTGCCGCAGAATATGTGCTGCCATTGAGGTGGGCCATTTTGTGCACTTGTAGGCTAGCGGCTATGTGGTTAGGACATGTTAGGGCCACTCTCCACAAGAAGCCATAGTATACGTCTGGACTATAAACACAATTTTCCCCCTCCTCTCTAATTAGGTCGCGGATGCATGCAAAGCCACCGAAAGAAAGAAAACACCAACAATTGCCCAGTTCAAGGGGGAAAGTCACACTAATTGAAATGATCATGATCGGATGGCACCGCCTGGGACGGGGGGTTTCGGATTCCACAGTCTTCCTGGATGGCCCGCCATCCACTTCCACCATAGCTGAAGGCTTCAGACCTGACTCGAAAACCATGCCTTCACTTCCGAAGGGCGAAGATTCCGCCTTCCAATTCAATGAAGTCTGCCCTTTCAAACTCTTCCTGCTGCTCGCGGTCCCCACTGCCCCCTGCGCCCTGCGCCCTCGCATCCCTCGCGTCCCTTGGTCCCACCAGCACACCATCAGCGCCCCGGAGCGTCGAGCGGTACAGTGCTGAGACGTCCTGGCGACCGCGGTGCTTTCACTGCGGTTTGAACAACGCGGTGTGGTGTGGTGTTTGGTGCGTGGCGAAGAACGAGATGAAGAGAGAATGGGGTTGAAGTGCGTATTTGGGGTATCTGTGAGTCACCAAAAATGCAGAGACTGACTGGAGACTTCCAAAGCTCATGGACCAACTGCACGCTGGTTTAGTCCAACCACCTACCGTCAAGACGAGTCACCCATGCGAACCACGTCATCCGCATCTGGAGATGCTTTCTTTACGGGAGCTATGACGTAGCAGGTTGAACTGGATGCGGTGGGTCCCCAAACCTGGAGCCCATTTCGGAGGGTCCTCCCTTGGTACTCCAAACAGGTCAGGAACTGACCATCCCTTTGACTGGTACAAGTTCACTACTGCTACTGCTACTCGCTCAACAGGTCGACTGCTGACTGGACCAGGTCAGATCGTCAGGTCGACGTAACGACGCAAAGCCCGGTCTTTTGGTCACAAAGGCCCGGTGGTGTTTCGTCGCGTCCTGCGAAGCCCAAAGGCTGTGCTCTGGACTGGGCAAGTCCACCAAGGAGAGTACTCCCGTGTCGGTGAGATGCTCCTTGTCCGAACGCGCGGAGCGACGCGGAGCGTTCGGCGCGTGGGCAGGGTGAGTGAGTTCAGGCGCGGAGAGTGTCACACGACGCGAACGCAGCAACATAGCACGTGTCCAAAAGTCTAGGCTGCATGGAGGAGACCCAAAAGGCAAACACTCGGGAAACATTTGAGGGGCGAGTCGCGTGAGTTACGCGTTCTTCTCTGCCCCTCATCCAACACCTGCCGAGGGTTTAGGGACCACAACGCCTCAAGACCCAGTTCCATGTTCACTTGTGACCACACCACCCAAGAAACTCACTTGGAGGATCATCTGTCATCAACATGCATCAACTCCGGCGTGTTTAATGGGGCTTCATGGGGAATCGATTCCTTCAGCGAGTAGTCCAGTCCAATCTCCGAAAGGTCGCTGAGTCATTGAGGACACAGGTTTGGGGGAATAAGGATGGATGATAGAATGATCATAGACCTTCATTGGCTACTAGGTTGGAGGCCATCGCTACTAGGGTGGAGGCCATTGCTACTAGGTTGGAGGCCATTACTACTAGTAACAAGAAACTACTAGTAGCAAAAACATCAACTAAACAACCGTGGGCTGGAGCATCGGAGATTCTATGTCCAGGTCAACGGATGAAACACAGAAAAATTGCGCAAAAGAAGGACGTTAAAAACACGACCTTGACAACATGGCGCTGCTGACTCTCTGTATTTTTTGTGGGTGGCTAGCAAGCTATGTCCAAGAAAATTCAAATGCAGGCACCTCTGCGCATATTTCCAAGCAACCAAACATCAATCAACAAAATAAACATCAAGTGATTGTAAAGTTGAGATCTTGTGATCACTGCAAATTACAGTAGCCCCCCTACCACCCCTTGGTGAATTGAATGTATTATCATACTTGTCTGGTTGGTGTTTTCAACCCACTTAAAACATATATATTAATCAGTGGGTTCCGGCATCCCCACGTAAAGTTGAAAACAAATATCGAAGCCAATCCGAAACCATTATATACCTACGTAATGAGTTGTATGTTTGCGAAGTCCAACATCCCTTCAACTGCCATGGCCGTTGGATTGTCCTCGAGGTCGGCTAGCGTGGTAAATGCCAGCTCCACCTGTAGGAACCTCGGGCTCTCCCGACCAACAAACGACGGGTGTCAACGCTCACATAGGGAGACCTCCGAGCGAGCCAGACCGTTGAGAAACCGTTGCAAAACCGCGGCGAGTTCCAGGAATTATAATGAACTTTAAATAACGTTGAAATTTCGGCGGTATAGGCGGCCACCACGAGAACAAACGAGGCACGATACAAACACACATGAGCCGAACATGTTGAAGGCAGGAGGAAAGAATAGTAGGCTAAGCTAGGCAGCAGCAGCTGTGTTGAAACTGTGCAGAATGCCTAGCCGCTATGCCAACCGACGCAATCCACTGTTACTTTTTTGGTGTCACCGCTTGCAAAAGATCAGTTCAAACAGCCATGCGCACCGCAGCCATGTACGTTGGAGCCAAGCTTGGATTTGTTCCAATTCAAAAGGCGCCGGGCAATAATGTGCCGAATCTTTCGCAGAAGGGGTTTTACCGATCTTTCCACAGTGAGGGAAAGTATAAAATAATAGAACGGGAAAAAAACAGCCCAAGGAGCATGGAGGATCGGCTGAGCACGGCCAGCTCCTCGGCAGACACCACGCCTGGCAATCGGGAGGAGTGGAAATTGTGTCGAGGATGTGGAATCGAACCGAGTTTTGGTGCGGAGAGGGCCCAGACCCCTCAAATCTGTATGGTCTTGAAAGACCTACCTATATAGGGTTGTTTGGAGCGTCTGGGATAGATGAATTTCACGTGGCTCCAAACACAGTGTTCGGCACCTCTTCGGTGGTTGAAACGCTTGTGGCAGCTCACTTGGCGTGTTTGAAAACGGAGCGCCGGCCTCCAACCTATAGAACATCGGGCGTTTGGAGGGGCAATCCAACTGCACTGTCTGCCGAGTACGTGTAGGAAAACACAATGACCACGGCTGCTACAGCTGCGGCACGGTGCCTCCCGAAGGGGGGAGGCCGTTGATTAATCCGGTGTTGCCATTACATAGGACTGACCGGGTGTGAGCCCAACCTGGGTGTATATGTTCATAGCGGTTATGTGTTTTTCCCTTCCACGGAGTCATTGCCTGACAGGTCTCCCTATATTCATGCACACCGGACTTGCCACCCGATCGCCCATGGCCGTTGGTGCTGTGTGTGGTGAGGGTTATGAGACAGAATGGACCGGGAAATTGACCGACGCTATGAATGACAATAATGAATAACACGACCTGTCTGGGACTGAAATATCTGCCGGTCAGGTGGGGTGGTTGATGTAGGGGGTCCAATGCAGATACATTTTCCAGTTGGATCTTGTTTGGATGATGCGTGATAGGCCACCAAAGATGGCATCATTCAGAGGGTAGGAAAACGCAGGCCAAAAGCGAAGAAGAAAAACGCAAAGCCAAACACATGATGAAACCTCCTCAGCAGCCGTCCAAACCACGGTATACTCACCCGGCGCTCCGCCTAAGTGCCGACATCGGTAGATGCTGCGGTGGCATGCGTCGATGGCACTGGTCACCGTCTCGACCCCCTGGGCTTTCGAGAATGGACAGGTGTGAGAGAAAGCTGTGACTGCTTAAAATTCACTTAGTATATCTTAGTATGAAAGTGACTGGATCCAGTCCGGAATCGCTACTTATAGGGGCGAAACTTCCTGAAACTTCCAAGAAAGTTTTGACTGGCTGGTAAGGCATAACGGCTGGATCCAAAGGCTACTTGGGACTAAGAGCCAGCCTGAAGTGTGACCATGCAATCAATAGAATTTTGATTCAAGCACCCCATTAACCCTTTTAAGATCTCTGCGAATTCAGCCCTATCTGTAATATACATAGTTACAAAGTGTCGGGATAGTGTGGGGCCAAAAGTTGGGGTTGCTATGGGTCGCTTCACCTGCATACTGCACAAGGAACAGGCCACGAAAATACGAACATGCAAAAACACCAACCAAAAGTTCCAAAAAACAAGATGGAACCCATGAACCCGAATGCAAACACGTTCCAAAAACTACATATGTCCAAATGACACTCTTGTAGGACACTCTTGTGGAACACTCTTCTGGGACACTGTTGTGGGTCACTCTTACACGACACTCTTGTAGGACACTCCTTGTGGGACACTCTTATAGGACCCTCTTGTGGGTCACTCTTATGGGACACTCTTGTAGGACACTCTTGTGTGACACTCTTGTGAGACACTCTTGTAGGACACTCTTGTGGGTCACTTGCAGGACACTCTTGTGGGACACTCTTGCGGGACACTCTTGTAGGACACTGTTGTAGGACACTCTTGTGGGACACTCTTGTGGGACACTCTTGTAGGAAACTCTTCCGGAACACTCTTGTAGGAAACTCTTGTGGGACACTCTTATAGGACACTCTTGTGGGACACTCTTGTGAGACACTCTTGTAGGACACTCTTGCGGGTCACTTGCAGGACACTCTTGTGGGACACTCTTGCGGGACGCTCTTGTAGGACACTCTTGTAGGACACTCTTGTGGGACACTCTTGTGGGACACTCTCGTAGGACACATCAGGAAACTGTTGTGGGACACTCTTGTAGGACACTCTTGTGGGACACTCTTGTGGGTCACTTGCAGGACACTCTTGTGGGACACTCTTGTAGGAAGCTCTTGTGGGATACTCTTGTACTTGTGGGACACTCTTGTAGGGCAATGTTGTGGGACACTCTTGTGGGACACTCTTGTAGGAAACTCTTGTGGGACACTCTTGTAGGACACTCTTGCGGGACACTCTTATAGGACACTCTTGTGGGACACTCTTTCAGGGACACTCTTGTGAGACACTCTTGTGGGACACTCTTGCGGGACACTCTTGTAGGACACTCTTGTAGGACCCTCTTGTGGGACACTCTTGTGGGACACTCTTGTAGGAAACTCTTCCGGGACACTCTTGTAGGAAACTCTTTGGGTGGGAAGTGTGTTTGCGTGGCACCGTGCCACTGGGGAGCGCGAAACAGGCTGGCGTAAACGCAGCGTGTCGCTGGTGCGCGGGATGATTTGTGGTATCATGTGACATGTTTGCTTCTATAATGTCTGAGCAGACCGTGTGGCGACGCGACGTTCGTGACACGCGACGTTCGTGACGTCGCAGTGCCATTGGGATTTGCGCGGGCTTGGTGGAAAGTGCCGTTGCGTGGTGCCGTGCCACTGGGGAGCGCGAAACATGCTGGCGTAAACGCGGCGTGTCGCTGGTGAGTGGGATGAATTGTACGTGGTATCGTGTGACATTCTTGCTTCGAGTGTCTGGGCAGACCGTGTGGCGAGGCGACGTTCGTGATGTCGCAGTGCCATTGGGATTTGCGCGGCCTTGGTGGAAAGTGCGTTTGCGTGGCGCCGTGCCACTGGGGAGCGTGAAACATGCTGGCGTAAACGCGGCGTGTCGCTGGTGAGCAGATGATTTGTGGTATCAAGAGTGTCCCAAAAGGGTGCCCCGCAAGAGCTTCCCGCAAGAGTGACCCACAAGTGTCCTACAAGAGTGTCCCAGACAGAGTGTCCCACAGAGTGTCCCACAAGAGTGTCCCCAGAGTGTCCCACAAGAGTGTCCTAAGTGGCCTGTGTCCCACAAGAGTTTCCTACAAGAGTGTCCCACAAGAGTGTCCACAAGAGTGTCCCACAAGAGTGCCGTACAAGAGTGTCCCACAAGAGTGTCCTACAAGAGTGTCCCACAAGAGTGTCCTACAAGAGTATCCCACAAGAGTTTCCTACAAGAGTGTCCCAGAAGAGTGTCCCACAAGAGTGTCCTATAAGAGTGTCCCACAAGAGTGTCCTACAAGAGTGTCCCACAACAGTTTCCTAATGTTTCCTACAAGAGTCTCCCACAAGAGTGTCCCACAAGAGTGTCCTACAAGAGTGTCCTACTAGAGTGTCCCGCAAGAGTGTCCAGCCTATTGCGTATGTCGCACACTATTTTTCCACCGTAAGGCTAAAACAGTCCAGCAAGCTCTAGTAAGCTTAAAAAGGAAACTACGGTGCCCTGTACTTACCAATTCCAGTGTGTTGCACACTATAGAAAAGGTAATCTCAAGGTATACTAGATACAGTGAGGGAGCGATAGCTTACTCACCTCAAATACAAAGTCAAAGACAATGTATCTCGGCTGGAGACTGTATCGTTCACCGGCGAAGATACCAGTACCGGCGCTCAATAGCCAGGGTCTGCATTCAAGTTGATCCAGGCCTGGCGGACTGCCTTGACGAGAGCTTTGACATTCCGAGCCGCTCTCGATTCACGCCAGCTGCCTTTTGTTGACGCACTGTCCCGAACCAGAGCCTTCCCCAAGAACATTTCCATGAGTAACCTGGACTTTGACAAATCCTCCCAGTTCAAAGCAGACTTCGGACCAGCAACTGAAGCTCGTTCAGCTTCTGCACCAAGCAGACCTTGTTCCAATTCGCTGGTCTTTGGCCTCTCTGACACAGCAGCTCCAGTGAGATCCATCCGGCAAAGATATGAGAGGCCCCGCAAGGTGACATCTTTCAAGCCTTTGCCCTGAAGTGCGGGTCCAAAGATCAGATAGCCAGGGATGGTTCCTGACTGAGGGCGATAGATCCCGACCAGCACACATAGAAGCACAATAGACAACAAATCCAAAACCACCACAGAAAAACCAGAGAGGCTATAAGGCCAAAACGTACCCTCTGAGTCTGTAGATACCAAAAGAAGAATGCTAAGGAAACCAAAAACAGAAGAACCCAGAAGCAAAGGACTAAGAATGTGGTTCACGCAAACAAAGAGAAGAAGAATTGTACGAATGTTGCTGAAAGGGAAAAGAATGTGTCCACAAGAATAACTAGACGACGAGTGGCCCGAAAGCATTTTTCATCACGTAGGAAGTCAGAGTGCGAGTTATCTGTCAAGTGTGCAGTGTGAAGTGTTAAGTCGAGTGAGTTGAGGTAGTGTGTGGGTTTCTGTGCGTGTATATATCTATGTCCGTGTGTATATGAGTCTGCGTATGTGTGTGTGTTCGTGTAAGTT